AGGTGGGTGGCTGGGGTGCATCTCGCAATCTGAAGCATGTATGTGTGTTGTGTATGGTGTTTGTTTGGCCAGAAAATCGAGTATAACCACCATGTGCCGCTGTCGGCCGCCATTAGGTTGTTGTCTATATGTGATTGTAATAGTGTGTGTGTGTGTGTGTGTTTATTTGAGATTTAGCATTGTAAAGTGTAATTACAAATTGGAATAATGAAAAGAAACTCAAACCACCACCGTAGGGTGGTGGCTACCGCCTCCTGCCGCCACCGGTTGCCGTGTCGGGTGGCAGTGTGCTTGTCTTGTGAGTTGACTCGATTGGGGATGCTTGAAACCCTAGTGGGCCTTGTCAACCTAATGGGCCCAATAAAACCCAAATAGGCTTGATGACATTCTAGTGAGCTTGATAGGCCCAATAAAGCCTTAATGGACCTAAAAGCCCAACAAATTGATAAATGGACTAATATTTGGGTTGGAAAAGTCATAATGCCAATAAAACCCTAATTTGTGGAAATTGCTTGGGACACACACGAGAATTAATTATTAAATATGAAATAATAATTAATAATCATTGGCAAACTAGCGTAAGGCATAATGGACTTAATGGATTAAGTCCTTAATTGGTTAAGAAAGAAACACTGAACCTTAATCATCATTTCATGTGAAAACTCTAATTTGGGATTATGGGCTTGGACTTATCGAGATCCACATTTGGGCCATTGGAATGGAATTTTGTGATTAAGCCCAATCACACCATACGACTTATTTTAAAGAATGATGGACTTAATGGATTAAGTCCTTAGAGGAATAATTCCTTAATGGGTTAAGTAGGAAACTTAACCCTAATCGGCATTTTATGTGAAACCCTAACTTCACTTGGGTTTATTGTTGGGCCTTTCTATTGGGCCTTAATGATTGGATTATTAATGGGCCATCCAAGAATAATTATATGGGCTAAAATAATTTAATGGGCCTAGGGTAAGTGCCATGTAAGGGGTTAGGCCCAATTTGGAAAATTGGGCCATAGATGGACCATAATTAGGCCTTAATGATTGTATTATGTTGGGTCATAAGACCACATATAGGCCTAGGCCCAATTTAGAAAATTGGGCCATATGCTAGGCTTTGATTCCTAGTTCTCTTTGGGCCTATGGTTTGGGCCTTGGGCTTGAATAAAGCCAATCTTAGGGTAATGTAGTAATTATCCAAGTATGTATTTATGGTTATGTGTTGGGACCCAATTATTAATTGGGTGTTATTTTGGTGTTAACAGTTCGGGAATCCGTCATCCAGCAGCTGGGGTTGAGTATGCGGGACTTCAGCAAGTGTGGGATTGTGTCTTCGGGACTTCAACAGTGTGAGGTGAGTTACCTTCCAGTAGCGGTGGGTCTAAGGCCACAATGTCGGCCCACCAGTAGGAGATGTATGATAGATGATTGTCTTTGTGATATCATCTAGGTTTGCTACTACCTGATATGTTATATGTTAGCATGATATGTTGTATGTGATAGTAGTAGAGTTCGGTTGTTAGGACCGAAGGGTCGTCAGACACCCCAAATACATCTAACAGTATGTGATGATATGTTGCATGCTGGCTTGTTATGTTTTATGCGATAGAGGTAGTAGGAGGGGACTAGTCCCCAAGGTTCGGTTGTTAGGACCGAAGGGTAGTTCATACATCCTAAATATGTCTGATAACATGTTTATGTTATGTTATATGTGATAGTAGTAGTAGGGGATGAAATAGTCCCCGAGGTTCAGTTGTTAGGACCGAAGGATAGTCAGCGCCCCAGAATGGCTCGACATGGGTAGTCAGCACCCCAGAATGGCTTGACACGGGTAGGTCGGCACCCCAGAAAGGTCGTACCGGGTAGGTCGGGCCCCCTAGAAATGCCTGACAATATATGTATGTTATGTGATTATATGGTATGTGGTATGATGGGGGAGCTCACTAAGCTTTGTGCTTACAGTTTTCAGTTTTGGTTTCAGGTACTTCATGTTTAAAGGAAAGGAGCCGGCTTGATTGCATCGCATCACACTCTGGTTTTCCGCACATGAGATCTTTGGGATTACACTCTGATGTTATTTTATGATAACACGTTTGATTATTTCTACTTTGGTTTTGACATGACATGATATTACAGATGTTTTATTACACTGTTGGTTTTATGATGACGTATTTAAAAATGAAATTTTTGGCCTGTATTTTTAAGATGTTACATTTTAGGGGCCAGAAACCATGGATTCTTTGTATGAGATTCGGCATTGCAAGGTGAGTTTCCTCACCATGTTTAGCGGGTCTAAGGCACTAATCTTGGCCCATGAACAATGATGATATGATACTAAATGTTTGTGTGACTCTTATATGTATATGTGCTTATATGATTTGTATGTTGGGTGGGGCCCATTATGCGAATTTGGACAAGGCCCGTTATACTCATTAGGTTGGGCCTGATATACGAGTTTGGGGGGGGGGGGGGCTTGTTATACTCAGTGGGTGGGGTCCATTATGTGTTTATTTATGTATGGTATGTGTTATGTTGGGGAACTCACTGAGCTTTTTCCTTGCAGTTTTCAATTTATTTTTTAGGTACTTCTGGTTCCAAAGGAAAGAGCTCGGTATGATTGCAGAGTAGACACCACCTCGTTCCATATTTTGTGATTTACTCTGATATGATATGATGATTGATATATTTGATTTATATGGGTTTTCATGATGATGTTTTTGGGATGTTGGTTTTATTAATTTAAAAATGAATTTTTTGGGTCTTATTTTTGGGACTTTACAAGTTGGCATCAGAGCCTTGGTTTGAGGGATTCAGACAAACTCTCGGGTGTGTCTGAACTTAAACTAAGGATTTGGTAAAGTTTTTCAAAAAGAAATGTATTTTTAAGAAAAGAGTTTTCTAAGACAAGAAAGGGTGTGACCGAGCTCAAGTAAGTTTTCTCAAAATACCCATACATGTTATTTGATATGATTTGATCTGTGAATATGTGAATCGCATGATAGCTAAAGTTAAGAATCTGCTCAATATTTGCATTATAGACTGCTAAGAGAGATTCCTTTGCATGCCTATTGTATGATCTTGTAGACTTGCATGCTAGTACTGATCAGTCAGTCATAGGATGGTCTGATTAGGTGATGCTTGGTTCTGATTACTTGATGACCGAATGTTTCTTGCTTTATTCTTTAGGAGTTCTCACTAGCTTTAGCTAACTAGTAAGAAAAATGCTAAGTTACATATTATGGGAACTAAATAATTTTATAAGGTTAGGTTTTAACTCTATTGCACAACTCTTTTCTGAGTCCAACAGTTGTAGTGTGAGACCTCTCATTCAAATAATTATATGCTTTGATTGATATGTAATTGTATTTGTGAGCTAGTTAGAGGAAGTTAGAAGGAGTTCCTTCTACAATTGATGGTGGAGAGTGGTGTGGAGTTTTCCCTAGGATATCCTAATGTGAATAAAAGCTCTATGATTGAGTGCTAGAAGGCTAATGGGTTTCAAGGAAGGAGTTTTAGGCCTCACTATGGAGTTTACTCCTTATAAACCCACCTTGGGTGAGTTTACGGCTGGGAGACCACCTCCCCCCATGAGTTTACGGCCGTAAACTCATGGGAGGAGTGTAATTGAGTGATTCCCAATACTCTTGTGGTTTTAGAAGGGATTCCAAGGCAATATACAAGATTATAGGGATGTTTAAGGTTCCAAAAGAGTACTCCCTTGGAGATTACGATCCTAGGACCAATCCTTGGGAGTTTACGGTTGTAAGCCCCATGGCTTAGGCCGTGAACTCTTGGGCACCCTCCAATCTTCGATTTTGAGGTCCTTGGTTCATTCCTAACCATTTCTAGTGAGGGTATAAGGCTATTTAGAGGTTTAAAGGTTCATTTGGCATAGTTTAAGGGAGTTTACGGTCTAAGCATGTGCTTGGGCTGTAAACTCTTGTTTGCCCTTCAAATGATGATGTTTAGGTGTTCCAAGTCTGAGATTGTAAGTCCCTAAGTCATATCTAAACTCCAAATGTGATTTGGAAGAGTTTTGGGCTTGATTTGCATGATTAGAGGGAGTTTACGGTCTAAGCATATGCTTGGACCGTAAACCCTCTTTCAAGCCCCCAAACTCGTTGATTCATGACTCAAACACTTCTAGGTTAAATCCAAAACTAGTTTCTAAGCCTAAAGGGGAGAATTTGGACATTCTGGCACCTTTTTAGGGGTTTACGGCCCAAGGATTCTCTTAGGCCGTAAACTCCTTATTTTCGGCCTTCTTGCATGCTTTTTGAGTTATAACAACAAGCAATGATGTTTAGAACAAGTTTGGGTAAGGGAACTTACGTTTTGGAGGCGGAAACTTGCGGTTTTGGGATGAAATCGGACTTGAGGAGAGAGAGAGTAGAGAGAGAAAGAGTGTCTAGTGTGGTAAAAAGGTCCTAAGGAGTGTCCACCCACCCTTATATAGGGCTTGAGGGTTGTACCCAGTATATGACTACCCGATACTTATGTTTAATGAGGTTTAAAGTTTTACCCGGTTAAATGGTCGTAATTAAAAATAAACTTTTTCCAACTAATTAGAAATGTAATTTACGTGTTTTTATTTATTTTATTATGACGATAATAACATAAAATGAAACTAAAATAAAACATTTCATTGATTTGTCTACCCCAAATTAATGGAACTTTTATAAAATAGAATATTTTATCAACGGAAACGGGTTATAATGACGGAATAAATTTTGGTTTGTCACATTATATTATATTAATAAATCATATATAACCTCTTCTCTCAAAAGTCCTTCCTAACAAATTGTCCTGATGATATGTAACCTAAATGGACCATACTACTCTCGGGTCAAGTACATACCAATAATAGTTATAGGCTTAGACATCTAATCCAACAGTTACTTGATATGATTGAAAGCAAGTAACCTATGATTTCTAATTTAGGATGAAGAAGAAATTGAAATGAAGAATTAGGGCAGCTTGTTTGCAGATGTGAAGGGTTCAGGTTCCGGTTTGGGGGGTGGGGGGGGGGGGGTGGGGGAGATTCAAGAGCCTTGAACCCCGTATCTGAATTGTCCTTCCTTGAGGATAATCCCGAATCATATAAGAAATCCAATCGTTCTTGCTTATTGAAATAGCACAAAAGTTAATCAGTAAGAATGTGAAAGATGAAGCCCTAACCCTAAATTCGTGAATATCAAATTAGAGAAAGTGAAAGAGGAGCTTACAAAACTAAGTCGGCTTGTTCCTGAAGTTGACGAAATTCAGCTTTCTCCCTTTCCTCGTGGATTTGCTTTTGGAGTTTCTCGAGCTTCTTCTGTTCGGCATCGTGCTTCTGCTCCGCTTTCCAAACGTTTTCAATGTTACGCAGACTACCCATGTGCCATCCTTTCTTGTTCAGAAACTTCAAAGCCATTCTTGAAGAGTGGTGATTTGGTGTTTAATTGATAATCGAGGCGACTCCCTTTTTATCATCCTGAGATCGCCTCAAGATTAAAAGATATTGTGAAGATATTGTCAAATATATTTACTTTATTTCCTTAATTGAATGATTTCAATTAAATGATTTTCTTAATTAAAAGTACAAAATGTCCAAAATACCCTTTAATTATTTATTTAATTATTTATTATTTTTTGAATTCTCATTGGTGCATTTGGACACATAATAGTTGCTAGAAACATTTGAACCTATATATATATATATATATATATATATATATATATATATATATATATATATATATATATATATATATATATATATATAATCCTAAATTGATTGGTGGGTCAACTCGTATATTTTTGGCAAACCCATATACAACCCATTTAATAAACAAGTTAGCAGGTTGAAAAACTCAACTCAAACCATTTTATCTTCATGTCGGGTCACGGATCATGTTGACAATTGATAGACCTACCAAATAATTTACATATTATTATTTAGCCACGGTATAATCTAATAAGCAATTTCAAAAAAATAGTAATAAATCAAACATGACTTTGGGACTCAAATGCAAACATGCTTACAGGAGTACGGGGCCAATTTTATTTTACAATATTTATTTATTTATTTGACATGTTTGAGGTATTTATTAGGGGTATTCGCGGTGCGGTTTGGTGCAGTTTAGAGTTGAAACAGCAAACCGCACCGCACATGCGGTTTGAGTTTTATGGAAACCGCAAACCGCACCACAAAAGCTCTAAACCGCATTATGCGGTACGGTTTCATGCGGACAGTTTGTGCGGTTTATGCGGTTTGATAAGTTGTTTCAATTTATAACTTTGGTTGTTATTCATTCCATTTAAACACTTTCAAAATTTATTAATTATATTGCATACCCTTTAAAAAGCATAAATATTGCAAACAAAAAAACCACATAATGTTTTGCTAAGTTGTTATGACCTATGAAATTTGATATCATAGTCTTTTAAGTTTTTAATTATCATATTTAACCATCGTGATGTATCAAAAATTTATTGGACAGTATGATGTATTTGGTAATTAGAAACTTTGATATATATATATATATATATATATATATATATAATATATATATATATATATATATATATATATATATATATATATATACACGACGCGGTGCGGTTTGGTAACTATAAACCGTAAACCACACCGCATAGTACGGTTTGACATATTACAAACCGCAAACTATACCACGAAATTTTAAACCGCATGTGACGTGGACGGTTTGTGCTGTTTATGCAGTTTTTTGATCACCTGTTATTTGTTATTTATAGCGAGAAACCTAATTGGGCCGACCATACAAATATACAATAGCTTCCGTAAGTTACCAGTCTTAGATCTTCTTTTTTGGTGGGAGTGGAAGACGGAGAGAAGAATAATGGCGAGTGACGGAGCGGCTGTGGATGCCAGCGGAGCAGCGGCGGAGGTAGTTGATAAGCAGCCCCATAAGTTAGAGAAGAAATGGACGTTTTGGATCGATAATCAATCAAAACCTAAACTTGGCGCTGCTTGGGGCAACAACCTTCGCAAGGTCTACACTTTCGAAACTGTCGAAGAGTTTTGGTGGTAAACCCCAATCACTATTTGTTGTTTTCTGTAAATGCAGTAAATAAGATTTTATCTGGATGAACTTTTTTCTATGTTCCCATTCCATTGTTAGAGATTTTTGGTTTGATTATTATAATAATTGATGCGAATTACTTTGCTAAAGTGATCTGATTTTCAATTAGGTGTTTAATGAACGAAATGGAGGTGAATCTAACAGATAGATGAACTTAAAGTCTATCAAAATAAACCCATTAAGTTGATTGATGACGAAATTTATTGCAGTTTATACGATCACCTAAATGGGAAGATCCAAAGTCTGCTAGTGGGGGAAAATGGACAGTTACTAGTAGCAATGTTTTTAAAGCTCAAACTGAGTATTTTTGACTTGTCATATGTAGATGAGCATCGGAAGAAAGTGGAAGGAAATTATAGACGTGACAGATAAGATTATCTACAACTTCCATGTAAATTTCATTATCTTTGATCTTATTTATATATATTTCTGTATTCCAATTCTGCCCTTTTTGTGAATGTGATTCAGGATGATTCCAAGACAAGAACATCAAAAGGTCGGTACAATGTGTAAAGTCATACAATATAAGTGACTTCGTAGATACTATTTACTAATTACTATCATATTGTATGTTCAATTTTGAATTTGATGTGTTATTATTTTTTCAATTCTGAAAGCCATTCCTCAAATCATGATTACCAACCAACATATTAAAGCTAAACTTTTCGATGATATATATAGATATGAAATATTTGAGGAGAAAAAAAAAATATTGATCTTGATACAAACTATGAAAAACTAAAAGTATGTTAAGCTAAGAATCCAAGTCTCTCTCCGTTCTTTTTCGCTAGACGAATTAGTCCTTGCCGTTGCTTGGAATCGGCCCCTATCGATTTACAAAACTCGGTGATTACCTGAAAAGCATAAGGTCAGTTGTGTAATTTGTTATTTCAAAGACTATATATTATATACCTGTGAGTGTAGAGCAATTGCTTTTCCTCTAAGCTGATTGAAGCGTTTCTTTCCGACTATGTTACGAGTGACGACAACTAATGGTGCAAAAAGTCCTTTCCCTTCATTCACGTTTCCCATCATTGGGCCAAAACTTAATGGATTTCTTCCGAATCTAACCCTAGTCGTCTTTGTGAGCATGGTGGAGTAATCTTCACCGGCTATGGTGCTGCCCCAGCTTCCATGGAAGGAGGAAGAAAAGGAATTAGTTGCAGTGATGGATGAAGTCGCCATTGCTGAATGGAAAGTTTGGTTGAAGGAGGTTAAAAGGCAGGAGTGGATGATATGTGATGTGAAGCCTT